TTAAGCTCTCTCTCTCTCGCTCTCTCTCTCTCTCTCTCTCTCTCTCTCTATATATATATATATATATTGTGTTTTTGGTTTTTTTTGTAAACTGCTGAATTTTATTAAAATGTTTTATATGCGTTATAGACAACAAATAAAGTTTTTCTTCAAATGTGACATATATTAATGTATTTTCTTGGACTGGAATATATGGAGGGCAAACTTTATTTTGAAATGCTTTTAAAAAAAACATATTTATATTTTTAAAATACATTTTCAAAAATATACAAAAAATGGCAAAAAAATATATATATTGGTAGAAAATATATTTACGTAAATATATTCTGAAACATATTACAGCAAAAATGTGTCCCTGGAGCACAAAACCAGTCATAAGGGTCAATTTTTTCGAAATTGAGATCTATACATCTTCTGAAAGCTGAATAAATAAGGTTTGTTAGGATAGGACAATATTTGGCCCGAGATACAACTATTTGAAAATCTGGAATCTGAGGGTGCAAAAAAATCTAAATATTGAGAAAATCATCTTTAAAGTTGTCCACATGAAGTTCTTAGCAATGCATATTACTAATCAAAAATTAAGTTTTGATATATTTACAGTAGGAAATTTACAAAATATCTTCATGGAACATAATCTTTACTTAATATCCTAATGATTTTTGGCATAAAAGAAAAATCAATAATTTTGACCCTTACTTTGATTACATTCAAGATATCTATACAGCTATACAGTACATTCTGCTGTGCATATAGAAACCTACATGCATGCATTATAAATACTTACACGGTGCCGAGTTAAAAACAATGAGAAAAATAGAGAATTGTGTTAGAAAAGCAGAAGCAGTACAGACCGGTAAAAGAAAATCTATGCAACTATACATCAACTTATCAAAAATATTTGACCCACTATCAAACAATTACTATATGTTATGAGAAAAATAGTTTTATTTTTGGTTAGCTTCTTTCTGAAATGTCCATATGAAACTTATAATTTGCATTCTTTTCTAATTTAACACAACCTTTGTCACTACAAATTATATTATCAGCATGATTTGAGTGAAACGCTGAATTGAAATGAACTCAATCTGACAATGTTTTAGCATGTGTTTTGCTTTCATGACAGCAGCAAAGAAGCTGACATAAACAAAAAAATAAAACATAAACACATTTTTTTCCATGTGTTCTCAGACTTTTGAACTTAATGAGACATAATTCACCTGAAACTTTGAAGAATTTCATTAAAAAATGACAGCATCCAATACTGTACGGTGTCCGAAGAGCTGGATGTTTGTAGCTTTTGGGATGTAAAAGTGTGCACTTGGTCAGGTAATCGCTATATGATTTCAAGTCTTCATTACAATGTCAATGAACTTCCATTGGCTTTCATTAGTCTCCTCTGTCTGTATGAGCGGCTGGGCTTTGCAGTATCGCAGCTGGTTTCATGTGAAGGCTGTTACTCCTGCAAGTGCTGGATGCTTCTCTGATACTCTTCTACAGGTAAAGCACCTGGACTCTGAAGCTCATATCCGCCCAGGTAGTGCCTGTTGGTCTGGCCTGCAAAATACAGGAGCTGTCGGGCAAACATGGGCTCCACCTGCGAAAGCAGACAAACACGATGAGACACACCACTCGCATTTCCCTGCTGGTGAACTTGTCGTAATGGATTACTGCACTGAACAGCCCACTATATGTGATGCATATCTGAATATAGAAATGCTGAGTTCATGCTAGTGCATTAACGTTATAATGATATAAATGATGTGTCAAACCGTGGAGAGGCTGATTTTACCTGAGCTGTGATCATTTTGCTCTGCCGTTGAGGGTCTGGAAACTCGTCTCCGAAACACAGCACCACCTGAGAGCGTGGCATGGGACGGCCGTGGTGAACGAAGCCCTGCAATTCTACAGCGAGATAAACAATGCATAATAATAAATAACAAGTGATAATAAAGTTGCATTTTATTATAGGGTATGAAACTGACAACAACAACAAAAACGTTTACCCCAAAGTAAACTGATCAAAACAAGAAAAAATATTTGCATGAAGAAAATTAAGCCTTTTAGGATCATTTTGCATCACTTTTTGTTTTTCATGCCAAATAAGCACATTTTGTTCCTCAATAAATGCAAATTCTCAATGCATTTACTTTTTGTAATTATTTATCAATGGTTCTCATTATATTTTTACTATGACAATAAATGTTTGTACTTGGTATGAATTCAGTAGGCAGTACACCTACAACAATCATGATGTATGAATGCTTTTGCATTAAATACAATGCACTTAAATAATTTCATTTAAATAATAGATCATAATAATTCAAACTACAATAGAGAAATATAAGTAATATAAGAAAATTGAGACTTTTAGGATCATTTTGCATCACTTTTTGTTTTTCATGCCAAATAAGCACATTTTTCCCTCAAAATTGCAATGCAAGTTCTCAATGCATTTACTTTTTGTAATTATTTATCAATGGTTCTCATCATATTTTTACTATGGCAATAAATGTTTGTATTTAGATAAAAGGCAATCATAATGTATAAATGCTTTTGCATTAATTAAATAATTTAATTTAAACAACAGATCATAATTATTCTGAGAATGAGATTTGCATTTGTGTTTGATGTTATTTCAATAATAGTACTGGCAGATTTTTATTTGATTCATAATTCTAAAGATAAAGTGGTACAAAAGTGTTTAAAATCTCTGATGGGCTTTAATGTCAAACCCCAATCTTTACGGTCATTACTCTTCCCATCAAAGACAAAAAAACTCCCGATGAGCAATAATGTGAACACAAGACCCCTCATAAACTGATGACTAGCAGAGAGCTGAAATGCAAATGAACTTTAGCAGGTGCAGACGGATGGAGAGTGTGTTCATGTGTGTGATCAGAGGGTCAGGAGCTCGCTGGAAAATCCCACAACGTGAGACATTAGAAGCAGAGCTGTGACACGTAGAAACCACACACACAGCTTAATGAACCAGCTTTCATGTGCTCGCAGGTGAAAGGACAGGCCTTTCCCTCATTCCACAAAAGAGCTGAATACAAAACACTTCTATAGTGTGTCTACAGCTGATAAAGTTCATTCATCGAGTGAATCAAATCAAAGAGACTGTGAATCATTCACATATTAGCTGAATTCTATTAAACTGAATGTGTCAGCTTAGATAAGAATCGTTTTATGAACAATTTACAAAGATAAACGTGTTTTATGAAAGATTCACACTGAAATTCATTTCATAAATAAGTCTAGATCTGTGGAAGCATCTCAATCATCTCCAACGCAAACAATCACACGAGTTTAATCTAACCCATAGGACAAAAAATACATGTGAAGCTCAATTAAATATATTTCTGAAATTTAAAATATATGTAGTTTTAATATTTATATACCAAAATGTATTTCAAAATGAATGCAAATGTGGATGGAATTAGCCTATATCAAAACTAGGTTAATAATGATTTTGTTTAATTTTTATATATATATATATATATATATATATATATATATATATATATGACATCATCTGCCATTCATCAGTTCTGTTAGGGCAGACCTCTGCCATCTGCTGTACCGACCATCATAACTCTACATCTATCTCCACACACACAGACAGCGACTTAAGACTGCTTTTGTGCTGCAGAGTCACATATATTTTAGGCCTTTTTTGTATATTTTCTGCTGTATGGGCACAGCCCATGATTCTGTTCAAAAGTTCTAATTAAGTTACTTAAACGGACTTTAATCAGTCATGTGACCTTCAAAATATACCATGAATCCAAGTCAATCAGCACTTTCTAGTCACTGGAATCTCTAACCTGAGAGGAACTGCTGTGTGTCCATCAGCTTGCAGGTCTGCTCTTTCTCCAGCTTGTTGGGTTTGTCAGCGTACGGGGCCAGCGGGCCCTCCCAGTACACGCGGCCCTGGCACAGGCGCTTGGCGTAAAGCCCGTCCGGAGCCAGCCACAGCAGCACGCCGCGCTCCAGCACGTTAGGCAGCTTCTCGGCCCCGCGCCGCTGCGACTGAGGGTACGGGAAGGGCAAGAGCACGGGCTCGGCCCCGCCGTACAGACGCTCCTCGGGGCCCGGGGACGACGGGGACGAGGGGGATCCTGGAGACGAAGAGGAGGAGATTCGACAGCCTTCAGGACTGCTGGTGGTCACCTCCTTCACCAGAGACTCGCGATAGTACAGAGAGACGTGCAGGCGGCAGTCTGTGCACCAGAAAACAGAAAACAGCATTTCAGAATATCCTTTTTTTAAAAACTTGATGACACAATACTAGCGTGTTTTGGGTGGTTTCTAGGTGCTTTCAATAGCAGTGTTGAGTATTTTACTCTAAAAAAAGTAATTTGTGACCCTGGAGCACAAAACCAGTCATAAGGGTCAATTTTTCAAAATTGAGGTTTATACAACATCTGAAAGCTGAATAAGCTTTCCATTGATGTATGGTTTGTTAGGATCGGACAATATTTGGCCGAGATACAACTATTTGTAAATCTGGAATCTGAGGGTGCAAAAAATCTAAATATTGAGAAAATCATCTTTAAAGTTGTCCAAATGAAGTTCTTAGCAATGCATATTACTAATCAAACATTAAGTTTTAATATATTTACAGTAGGAAATTTACAAAATATCTTCAAGGAACATGATCTTTACTTAATGTCCTAATGATTTTTGGCGTAAAAGAGAAATGTATAATTTTGACCCATACAATGTATTGTTGGCTATTGCTACAAATATACCCCAGCGACTTAAGACTGCTTTTGTGCTCCAGGGACACATTTATTACTTCTTCAGCAGTGTTATTAGATTACTGTTCTCATTACGCTCTCTAAAAAGTGTTGTATTACTAATTACAGCTGAATAATACAAGGATAGACATGAAACTGCTCGTTTCATTCTATTAAATAAATAATAAAAAATTGCAAGAATTATTATTCAACTGATCAAAGTATTTAAAGAGAGAGGGTTGCATTAAAACCATTCATTTTAACATCAGATATGAAATGTTGATGTTCAATCCACTGTTTTATATAGAATCGTTCTATAGTCTGTACAGTATTTAATGCAATTACATCAGAAGTAACTAATTCAGTTACAGGAAAAATTAGAAGTAATACCTTACTTTACTTTTTCGAGAGAAAAGTAATTAAATGACAGCAATTAAATACTTTGTAATGCATTACACCCAACACTGCGCAATAGTTACTTCATTCATGTCCGTGGTGCAAATGTTACATGCCAAGGTTTATAGCAACAGTCAGGGTTATTACAGTTAACTAAAACTAAAACCATAAAAACTTACTTCAAATTAATTAAATGTTACCTGAAAAAAATCTCAATCTAGCCGCCAAGGCAACATTTCTAATTTTCATTTAGTTTATCTTAATGTGATAACTAAATCGGAAATAGAAATGGAAAATTACTATAAACTCAATAGACTCGTTTAAAAATAAATTAGACAAAAACAGACAAGAAAATGACTAAAACTAACTCAAATGAACATAAAAATGGGAAATCTAAAAATATGAATAAACATTATAATAGTATCTCAATGATGCTAATATAACTCTGGCAGCTGTGTGCGTGAGTCGTGTTCATGTACCTGAAATAGCCATGGCTTCGGCCGATCTTATACCGGGGTCCATTGCCACTGGATGGGTTTCTGTCGGTGAATATGTGTAGAAGGAGCCAGATATCTGATACCCTGGAAAGTGTAGATGCATTAAAATGGATTATTTTACTACCCTCAAAATTAAAAATGCAATGTGACAAAGGAGCCTATAGTAAAATAAAATAATTGTCTTTCCACTTCTATCACTGCAAGAGTCAGAATCGAGACCAGACCCAGACCACGACTGGACCGGCTGAGACCAGACCACTTCAGGACTAAATCCAGACCCAGGTCTAACCCAGATAGAAATTTCGTTTTTACTTATATTTAGCAAAAGTTAATAAAGGGACTAGATGTCAGCAGAACAAAGTACGTTCTGTGACGCATATTCATTGGTACCCCTTGAGTTTGCTCTTTTACAGAGTGAGAAGTGCCATTAATACACAAGCATTAATACAGACATGAAGGATTTCCTCTTTCTGTTTAAAGTCGGCTAATGTTGCTCGCCTTTGATAAACGCTCTTCTCAATCATTACAGGAACAAGTGAGAGCATCTATGACCAAGAATAGCTCTAGCTTCTCTGAAAATAATACGCTATATATGGTAAACAACCTTTAAATATGGCCTGTAATCGTTTTAAGTTACTTTGTTCTCCCATTTATTGACTGACAGCCCTCCTGTCCCGTGTTGAGAGAAATCAGGAGTGAGCGCAGAGACAGAGACTCATCCTTCAGCCTGAGGCTCATTCATTTCACTTTCGGTGTGAAAGGGTCTTTACAGTTGCCAAAAATATAACCTTTGGGTTTTTGTTCTTAAAAACAAACAAGCAAGACCAGCCCAGGTGACAAAAAGTAACGCAAAAGTAACATTCCGTAAAAAGTAACGCAATTACTTTTTAGAGTTACGTAATATTGTAATGCATTACTTTTAAAAGTAACTTTCCCCAACACTGCTTAAGATACGTAGTTGTTTGCCAAATGTGAGAGAATGGCATGAATCGAATGCTGTGCACTCAGAACGGGACACTGTGCATTATTGGAGACGCTGGAAGCAGGTACCGTTGTCACAGGCCGATGGGTGCCAGGGTAAGGAGCGCGTGGGTGGATACGGACACTGGCCATACGGTAACTCCGCGTGAGGAGCCTGAGGATGAGGCTGATCGCCGCTGTATTCCTTCCATTCTCGTCTCTCCTGAGGCAGCATGTATCCCGGCATCTGCACAGAGACAACGGACGGGTTCTGAGACTGAACTTTATCACTGACCTTCCAGAGAAGAAGAACAGCTCCAGCTCCAGTATGCTGGAGCGCACATTAGAGTTCCTAACTAGCATAACCAACAAGATTCACTCGGTTAACCTGCTTCACCAGTCAGGTTTCACATGGCTGTGCTGGTTCACCAGATCAGTAATAAACCAGCCTGCACTAGCTGATCTTTTTTAGCCAGGCTGATTGCACACCTTTAGTAAAGTTAACTGAAACTAGAACTAAAATTACATTTATATTTTAAAAACTTTCATTAAAATAAAATACAATTTTATCTCACCTGGTTGCCAAGGCAAAATAACTCATTTTCATTTTGCTTTACTTGATGCACTTAAATAACTATAACTAAAACGTAATAAAAATTAATACACAACAATTACTAAAACTTTAACTAAACTAAAAAAATAACACTGCTATATATATTGTGTGTATATATATATATATATATATATATATATATACAATTTGATGCACTAAATATATAACTTGCTTAACTTTAAAATAGCATTTATATAGTAAAAACAGAAAAACAAATAACTATATTGACATATAAAAAACCTAATAAAACAACAAAAACACGCAACATTACAAAAACTTTAATTAAACAAAAAAAATGAAAACAAAAAATATAAAGACAAAAATTAATCATAGATGATAAAAAACTATAATATTATGACAGTAATACTAAAATAACACTGCTCTGAGGTCATAATATAGTTCTAGATATATATATATATGTATGTGTGTGTGTGTGTGTGTGTGTGTGTGTGTATTATATATATATATATATATACACACACACACATACATACAATTTGATGCACTAAATATATAACTTGCTTAACTTTAAAGTAGTATTTATATAGTAAAAACAGAAAAAAATAATAACTATATTGGCATATAAAAAACCTAATAAAAACAACAAAAACACACAACATTACAAAATCTTTAACCAAAATAAAAATGATAACAGAAAATGTAAAAATGAAAACTAATTAAAAATATTAATAACAACTATAAAAGTATCTTGATACTACAATAACACTGTTTCATATTGAAAGCATCTGCTAGGAGCAAACAGTAAATGTAAAAGTACTAGATATAAATGCAGTGCTAATTGGACGTCTCCCATGGAAATTAATATTTTGTAAAAAAAATAAATAAATAATAATAATAATAATGTTTTTTAGCAAAAAAATCAGAATATTAGAATGATTTCTGAAGGATCATGCGACACTGAGAATTGTTTCTTGTTTCTCAAATTTCTTTGAATCTCTAAATGTTTCTAAAATGTAGATGTCATAGCAACCTTATTTACAGAAAATATATATAGTATATATCATAGTATGCAAACAAAAAACTAACAAAAAAAACAATACTATTAGTCAGTAGTCAATGGCTACCAGCAACTATTTGGTTACCAACATTCTTCAAAATATGTTCTTTTGTGTTCAAACCGCAAAGGGAACACATCTCACCTGAGGCTGTAGAGGAGGATATGGGGAATGCATAGGATAACTAATAGGAGCCACGTGTGCCACGCTGTCATCCATATTGCTGGACTTAGAGCCTAAATTACAAGAAAAAATATATATTCATACCATTCATATACATATATAACTGCACAAGAATATTTATGAATCTCTGGCTGCAAAGCATGCAAACAAAATTTAAATACATATCCACACTATTTGAGCATTTGGTTAATGATAATTGTAGCCAATAACTGATAATTGTATTTTAAGTTTAAGTTTAAGACTTTTCTCAGATTTCGAGAAGCCGCTAAAGAGCAAACCTGATCTCACGAGAAAACGTAACTATTCTAAGAGTTGGCGATTTTTTATGAATTTGTACGATTTGATTTGTATGGAAACATACTATTTGTAGAAAAACATTAAGCATGAAGGTCCAGCCCTAATCTACCCTCAGCAGATCGCATGAAAACATACGAATGAGATCGTACGAATTCACCGCCCATTCGCCAAGACGTCAAATAGTTACGAACTGCCATGATGAGCGTGTTAAAAGAGCCCATGACTTGACGAGTGCACTTTTCCTTCCTTTGCTGATGTATTTATTTTGTTAAAAGAAGCTGAGGCTGGACATATCGAACAGTTCGTCATTTTTACAAATAGCCGACAAAATAGTTTACACCACAGTCACGATTAGCTATTAGCTATCAGAGGCAGGTGGGAGGACATTTACATTCTTGAGAGCATTTGATTTTGGTCAAAAGTCAGTCCAAGGTGAGCGATCAATATTTTTGGTCAGTTTTCTGTACATTTTAGTGTCTACATCTACTTTATCCTAGAAACTAAAAGACACTGGCTACAAAAAATGCACTCATTCGTTCGCTTACAGCTCAGTTCTTGCCTCCACTTCACAGGTAGTTCACAAGCACAAATAATAGCAACTATATTAAGGTGTGAAACTACTATTCATGTCATTTTTATGAAATTACTGAAACTCGTGAACGCTTTAGGGTCACACCAGAGGTCTTCATGGTCTTGGCCCAGCACCTCGAAGCACAAGCTCGTCTTATGCAAGGTCTGATGGGTGATTTGTGTTGCTTTACTGCTGTGCACTTGGTAACCGGAGCTCTCTATAAAAAGCTTGAGGGATTTTAGCACATGTAGTGGCTTCCTCTTAGCTTCCTGCTTCACATACTGAGGGCAAGTAGCAATATTTAATGTTAATGCATAGCATGCCTCCACCTTTGTGTAGCAAATTAGCTCTGTTTACAGCTCTTTTGTGCGCTTACTTTTCAGTAAGAGCTGGAATGATGCAATGCATCAAACCTAGAGCAAAAACTGCACCCTTTCAAGGCATGACTTCCTAACAAATGTATATTTGTGGATTAGAAGTTAACCAATGCACAGCTCCAAAAGACCTTATGCATGTTTTAATATATTTAAATGCATTTCGCTCATTGCTATTCATTGCTACGCTATCCAAAAATGGACATTACCTCTCTTGGCTGCTTCTGGTATTATCCTGTAGACCTTGTAAGGATCTGAGATGTCCAGCTGGCTTCTCTCCACCAGCTCATCAAAGTCATTGCTCTTGTTCAGGGCACAGCGGAGCCTCGTCTTCCATGTTGGAGGGTCTGGTTTGTCCAAGCCTTCTCTGTGCTTGCCTTTAAACAGGGCCCAAGCCTACAAACCACAACACCAGCGTGAAGATGAGAAGAGATGAAGAGTGAGAGAGGAAGAAGAAGAACTGGCTCTCTTCTACCAACAGGTAGGAGCTCAGAATACAGACATATACTAATGCATTAAAGGATGTCAAAATGGATGCGCACTATTATTCTTATTAATAATGATAATAATAATATGATTATTGTTAATAAGTGTGCTATTATGTAATTAATAAAATACTGTTCAATGTGAACTGTCATTGCTTTTGTTACCAATCTATTAACATGCAATGGTCTTTTTCAGCTCAGCACAACACTAATGCATTTTATCTGATATGAAATTACTCTTAATAATTTATCCTACAGTATATGATTACAGTAGCCTATATGAAAAATGTGCCTTAATGTATTAACTTTAATAATAATTCATATGCATTCATACAGTTGCCCCAAAACGTATTTGGAAACTTGAGAGGTGCATGAATGTCATCGCATCAGATAACAAAATATCAAACCACGTGGCTGCAAACTAATTTTTCTCGGAACAAACTGCGCTTTTCGTTCTCGTTTTACTCTGAATCAGTTGGCATTTCGGCGACTTTAAGTGGATGAGAGTCAAGTTCACACAGGTGTCCGACAGGGGAACCACAAGTGTGGTTCAGTATAATAACTATGGCATTGTCCACTCATATTTTGCAACCACTTCTGTCTTCATTTTCAACACTAGATCTATTGTTTGATCAGTTTCGTCAAACGTCTAGCTTCAAAAGCGTGCGTAGTTTATTTAAATAAAGGCACTTGGTTTGATAACGCGACATTTTTACGAGTCCTAATGCTTTCTGGGCCACAATACACGGCTAAAGACACTCCATCATTGAAAGAGTCATCAGAGGTCCACCTTCATCCTCAATCACCTTGAAGAGCGCTGCGTCCTCGTCGCGGTTGTAGTCCTGTTTCCCAGCGTGCTTCCAGGGAATCCTGAAAATGGTTTTCTCGTCATTTTCCCAAACCAAGCCGGAATACTCCCCGCTGTCAATCTGATCGATGAGCCACTGTCTAAGTTTGCCATTCCCACAACTGACTGACATGCTGCTGTCCCCATCTAAGTTCATGTCTGTGAGGGAGGGAGGCATGCGAGAGCAGGTGCACATGCAGTGAGCAGAAGAGCGATTCAGATGAGTTCATGCATGCATATTCCGTAATAACACACACATTTATAACGTGTTCTCAAACGACAGAAAATGTTGCATGAAAAGTATGCGTTCAAAGAATGAAGCTTTACATGCAATTTAAATGTAGTTTATTAACAGCCGCATTTTGTAAAAGGAACAAAATATAGATAGCAGGGCATCCGTAGCTTATCATGCATGAAACATAAGCTTTTTTAATAATTAAGCTGCATGCTTATAATAATTAGTTTGTTTAAATCAAGTCATATTCAGCTCAGCTGAATGTCACACCAGATCAAGGCTCTCAAGTCTTACCTTTGTGAATGCAGACAACTTGACTTCTCTTTCAAAGCCGACACTTCTCAAGTCATGTCAGAGGACGGTGCTTCTATTCTTAAATAATGAAAAGCGCGTTAGGTGGAGAGATGGGTGGGGCGTTACGTGGAAGCGTCTTTCTCCAGCACCATTAAAAAGAGCTGAAGACTTCAGAGAAACGCGACAGAACCGCAAGAATAAACATCCAGCATACGGGAAATCCCTGCGAGACGCACAAACACACACACGGTGGAACAAATATCTGTCGATAAAATATGCCAGAAAATCTCCCGGCGCTCGTCATCACAGTGATCCTGGTGTTTGATGTTTGTTGATGTAGGTTTGTTTGCTTTGAGGACATTCACAGCTGCCGAGCGCAGAACCGCACGGGGGCCACTCGCTTATTCCCATCAGAAGGGGCCAGTGTCAAAGTCATTGTGTCTTATGTGTTTTGAAACTTCACAGAGCTTCTCGGGATCCGTTTATCCCCCAGAATAATATCAGCAAATTGCTTAAACATGAACTCGTAAAGTATTTGATATCAAGTAACTTCAAATCTGTTACCAATCTTTTTCGAGTTCAACAGTGTTGAATCTGCTGCCCTCTGCTGTCCTGAAATAACAGAGAAATTACCATATTATCTTATTTTTCAAACTAAACATTTCCATTCTTTCTTTATGTTACTTTGACATTAAAACAGGTCCTCGGCTGATCCAGCAAGTGCTAAATGGATATTTCAACCGAAAATGAAATTTCTGTCATTATTTACTCATCCTTAGGTTGTTCCAAACCTGTATGTGTTTCTTTCTTCTGTTGAACACAAAAGAACATATTTTGAAGAATGTTGGTAACCAAACAGTTGCTGATAGCCATTGACTCCTGACTAATAGTTTTTTTTTTTTTTTGCGTACTATGAAATAGGGCTGGTCAGTATATTCATATTTATATATATTTTTTTTTTTTTCTGTAAATAAGGTTGCTATGACATCTACATTTTAGAGACATTTAGAGATTCAGAGAAATTTCACAATTCTCAATACAAATACTAGGGTAACTAATATTAGTTAAAAAAAAATTTAAAAAGGCCTAAAAATTTTTTGTAAATAATTAAACAGTCAGTAATAAAAAAAAAAAGCAAAGGACAAATACAATAGAAAAAAAGATACAAATGGAACAAACAGTCCTCTAAGTTTTTTTTATGCAAGTCTAAAGTATTCAACAGCCAATTACAGAAATAATTAATAATTGAATGTAAAATAAAACAGCATAGTCTTCACTGTAAGAATTAAACTTTTTTTGTTTCTTATTAAAGCTACAAAAGTCCTTCAGTCAAGAGCAGTGAGTGATTTTCTCTTTTGTTGTTTGATTTAATGTTAAGCACACAGTCGGCAGCAGGAATATTAGGCTGCTGTCACTTTAAGAGCTGCACGGATCCAATTTACTGCTACACACATATTTTCATTCTCAACTGTTTATGTTCATATATTACATAACCGATGAGGGTTTATGTGAATAATCACCAAGCACCGCATTTTGACACATTTTTGCATGTATTTGTGCGTTTAGGCTCACCTTAAGCTAAAAGATGACTTTATTGTCCGTTTTCTGTTCCATCTCTGAGCACATGCACAGAAATCCTCCTGAGGAACAGCGCAAGTCCTCTTTCACGCTTTTAAAACATGAATAAATCAAGCACGTCACGTTAACATTATTTTAGGGATTTGCACGTGAAATTGGGCTTTTATGGAGGAGCAAAAGCGCTGGAAAGGGGGCGGAATAGGGTGCAATAATCATTTTATCTCAAATATAAAAGCAGAAAGTCAGAGACCATAGTAGTATAAATACATTTTTATAATATAACTGTAAAGACTGAACAACAAAATGCAAATTTCCCTTTAACATCGCATCAGTAGTAAACAACATTAAAACCTTGAATATGTCTTATTTACAAAAAGTGTGCATAAGTTAATAAACAGTGCTGTGCCATATCAAACACTCATCCCAGACGTCAGGAATGGTCTGTGCGATCTCTCAGTTGAACTCAAAGTCCTCGTCCTCCGGCGCGGAGGAGCTGGGAATCTGCGCCATCAGGTTATGAACGTCCTCCTCATCATTAAAGGGGTTTTCCTTATACTCCTCCTTCAGCCACTCTCTGAACTGAACACAAATCCACAATTACGAATGAATGCATGAATCTGGATCACGCATTTACACAAACATATTAACCCTATAAAGCCTACTGTCTCATATTTGATACACACATTTTTAAGGCCTCTAATTTATCAACATGATTAACTTGTTAATAAAAACTGTTTCAGACTCAATCTACTACATTCTCCTTCTGTCTCTGATTGAGAGTTTAGAGGTTTTTATCCAGTCAAAGCTCTTTTAGTGTAATTGCTTCAGCTGGAGCTTCTCGTGTCAAATCTTGACTGATTTTGATAAAGTAAAGGTCAGAATAACTGCAGTAATATCTCCAGATGAACACTTACTGGACTGAAGCAGCTCAGCTTTACTTGATTCTCCATCAATCATGTTTTAGAGTCTCAAATCTGATCCTCAGGATCTTTTGAGGAGCGTTTGTTTCCAGAAGCTTGACTTTCACTGTTCCTCAGCGGAGGAATGATCTTCACAAGCCTCCAGAACATCTCACATCTTCTGAGGAGCCTTTATTTCTTCAGCTCTCAATCACTGCATTATATGTTTGGAGCATTTCAATCTCATCTTACAGAGACATGTTACTGGAGATATAGAGCGACCACTGATATTTATAGAATTTTATGCTAGTATCTGCTCTACTGTTAGAAAGATCTCATTGATTTACAGTACAAGCAGCAGAATTTCATCATAGAAGAAATATCAGCATCTGCAACAAATTCATTTTGAGTCTCTTAATAACTATATGAGACTATATAAGCCAGAAAAGCCTGATGCAAATTTAGATTTAAAAAAAATATATATATTGTCTAAAGGTTCAATAAACTGTTCCATTTTATAAAATGACTATTATTTTATATATCAGGCTTCACAGGGTTTATCAGAAGGGCCATGTCATAATTTGAGGTCAGCTGAATTATAGCTGATACAATAATTTAGTCATAAACAGTGGAGGAATCACCTGCTGTAGCTGGCTGGTCTCAAACTCCTGCAGCTGGTTCTGGAAGCCCACGTTGGGTGAAGCACAAGGTCTCGCCACCTTCACCGCAGCCAGAGCCTCCTGCCATCCCAGAGTCGTGACGGTCATGACATACGCCACCACCAGCGTCACGCTACGCGACACGCCAGCCAGACTGGAGAACATCAGATCAAATGTCACATTCAGCAAATTTACTAACGTGATTTTAACATAACAGGCCGGTTGCCTTTAGAATAATTACAGGCGATTGCTTATGATTGTTCATACTGTAGGTTAGTGATCAAAAACAAGCTCCTAACCCTATGCATGCAACTTAGTCGTGCAACTCGAAGTCGCAAGAACATAAGATTTCAGAGAAATACTACAGACATCATTATGTTTTTGAGAATGAACCGCTTTGCCCGCAGTGGTGTTATAGTCTCACATCAAACAGAGGCTCGTGTTTACTGTTGTTTTGGGAAGTTCAAAAATCTACACCTAGTTATCAGCTGTTCACATGGTCACACTGGGCTCGATTAGGGCTGGTATCTGGGTTGAGTGCACATTTTGCTTCCTCTTAAGGTAGACTCGTATATATTCATGCATGCAATCATATGCATACCTAACATTGGTTCATTTACAGTGTTGATTCAATAGCTGGAGGACGTACAGTGCAAACCCTTCACTTACCAGTGAACCAGACAGCCCTCGCCTTTCAGTCGGGACTCGTGCATGAATTTAATGCTCTTCTTAAAATGCTGAATGCTGCAGAGGGGAAAGAAACAGATTATGTCAACTTCATGCAATTCTGTAGAGAGAATCAATGTGAAGGATGCTGCAATGAAATCTGTGCTGATCAGCTGGCCTCCATCTACACACAGATCTTCAACAGATGTGCGAAGTCCCTTCCTGCTTCAATGCTCCACCATCATCTCCATTCCAAAGAAACCCAAAATCACAGGACTTAATGACTACAGACCTGTGGCTTTAACGTCTGTGTTCATGAAGTCGTTTCAAAGACTTATCTAAAGGACATCACTGGACCCTTACTGGACCCCCTGCAGTTTGCTTACCGAGCAAACAGGTCTGTGAATGATGCAGTCAACATGGGACTGCATTATATCCTACAACATCTGGACAAATCAGGGGCTTATGTGAGGATCCTGTTTGTGGACTTCAGTTCGGCTTTCAACACCATAATTCCAACAGCCCTCCAGATCAAACTAACCCAGCTCTCTGTTCCTAGCTCCATCTGTCAGTGGATCAGCAGCTTTCTGCCAGATAGACAACAGCTAGTGAGAACTGGTCAATTCAAATCCAGCACCTGCACCATCAGCACTGGCGCCCCCCAGGGATATGTCCTCTCCCCACTGCTCTTCTCCCTCTACACCAACGACTGCACCTCTACTGACCCCTCTGTCAAGCTCCTGAAGTTTGCAGACAACACTACAGTCATCGGCCTCATCCAGAACGGAGACGAGTCTGCTTACAGACAGGAGGTTAAAGAGCTGGCTGTCTGGTGCAGTTATATCAACCTGGAGCTCAACACGCTCAAAACAGTGGAGATGATTGTGGACTTCAATACACAACACTATTTATACAATTATTTATTTAACACACCATGCTTCTTATTCGCATTTCCTTGCATTTGTACATATCATACCTGTACACACAAATACCATGTTGTCTATTTTTGTATATTTTCAAATATTTGTTGCATATTATTATTTCCTTTTTAGTTATACTATTTTTCCTTTTTACTGTAATCTGCTTGTGCTGTTGAAGCTTCTGTCACCTAAACAAATTCCTCGTATGTGTAAACATACCTGGCAATAAAGTCTTTCTGATTTTGATAAAAGTGTATGCCTTCAGCACAGTGGACATTTCTTCACATTAAAGCATCTGCCAAATGCATAAATGTAAATGTTAATACTCTCAGAGAGTAGCTGAGAAGCTAAAAATGTATGCCCAAAAAAAAAAAAAAAGTCAGCACAGCTGCTGTTAACCATGAAATTGCAGGTCAAACTGACTTGTGAACATCATAATCTTAATAAACATTCTGCATGCACATACACACATCCCACAACACCTCAGAGTTTCAAAACTCTGCAGGCTTGTTCATAACCCTAAATGAGAACTAATTATAATTTAAAAAATTTAAAAAGTTAATTTAAAAAGTTTTTCCAACAACTCGATTTTGTACAAGGGTTAATGTATGAATGTCACTGGTTTGTTTTAATATCTTGTTATCTAATGCATTGACATTCAGGCATTAAGTGATGCTTAAAAGGATAGTTCACTCAAAATATATTTTCTAGAATGTTTCTGAACTGTTTGTTTGTTTGTTTTTTATTTGAATGTCACTGGGTTCCAAAACAACTTCTGCTGTGTGAAAATAAATAAATAAATAAATAAAAAAAATATCTCTTTTTGTGTTCCACATAAGAGAAAAAAAAACATCATACAGGTTTGGAACAACATGAGGATGGGAAATTGATGACAGAATATTAATTTTTGGGTGAAATATCCTGTTAATTGTGCAAAAAAAAAAAAAAAAAAAAAGCATTTTGGGGCCACTGTAGTACGTACAGTTTAAGTTTCATCTAGATTCCGTAGAGGTTTTCATTCAGACTATGACGCCGACAGTGCCGTTCCTCCAGCGGTGGGAAGGTCGTAACCATAGCAGTAAACAGAGAATTACGAGACATCCTGTGTACATGATGTTTTCCAGATGCAGATTACTCACAGCAGCCAGCCGCTCTACAACACACAGCTTTTACAACTTCAGTATTTACTGCCTTCGCAATTCCTGACAAAATTTTATTTAGTCTTGATGCTGAAACTCAAACGAGCGTGTATTGAAATGCTCAAAATATTTCAGTAGGTTTTCAAGCGGAGCCAGTATGAAACAGCATTAAAACACTGGCTTAAATATACAATTATTAAATAGCAATTCTATACCCTCATCACACTCAATCTAATTATTAACAAGTGAAAGCCCAAAAATTAAACTTAGGCAAGTTTGTTATTAAAGGGGTCATGAACTGCCATTTTTAAAATTATTTTGTTCTGTTTTCTGAGGTCCACTTATAATGTTTTCAAAAGTTTTACACCAAAAACATCATAATTTAGAAGTAATCTTTATCATTTAGTTTCTGCGTAGACCTGCGTTTGCCTCTCTCCTAATTTACACTACATGCGTGAATCGGTGGGCGGGGCTAAACGGACAGTGCTGTAGACTCGGTGGGCGGAGCTAAACGGGCAATGATGTAGAATCGGTGGGCGGGGCTAAACGGACAGTGCTGTAGACTCGGTGGGCGGAGCTAAACGGGCAATGATGTAGAATCGGTGGGCGGGGCTAAACGGACAGTGCTGTAGACTCGGTGGGCGGAGCTAAGCGGGCAATGATGTAGAATCGGTGGGCGGGCTAAACAGGCAGTGATGTAGAACTGGTGGGCGGGGCTAAACAGGCAGTGCTGTAGAAGCAGGCGTTGATCTTCTGTGGAGGCGGAGTTTAGCCACACTATTACATCATAAAGTGGCACATTCCACAAGCTGTCATTTTGGCAGATTGGCTTCAATATAAGCTGTTTTTAGACTAAAGAGAAAGTTTTGAGTTCTGAAATGTACAGGATGTTTTTATAGTACAATGACCTCTTATATGTCAAAAGATCAAGGGAATTTTGGTTTCTCAGTTCATGACCCCTTTAAAAATGATTACTACAGTACATATAAAAAAACATGAGTTTCTATCATTTCAAGGCCTTTGAATGATCGGAGCAACTGAACTGTAATGGTTCTGGTCTCTTGTTTGGTGGACTTTTTTTAGTTTATAAAGGTAAATTAAAGCCTAAATTAAATCGGTTCATTATATGAGGTGATTGTGTCTCTTCAGAAGGCTTGGATTAAGTTGCTTGATTCATATGGATTACTTTTACAATGTATTTTTGTACTTTTTGAAACATATATAGGATGTAATGAGGTTACAGTGATCATCACTGAGTCACGAATGATTGACATTTCAGCACTTCAGCGCATACTTGCACGTTCGTGTTAAGTTCATTTTTGAGAAACGCACGTAAAAAAAAAAAAAAGGAACAAATGTTTGTAACCTCGCACACAGAAATCCATCTTACAGATATGAGATCCATCAGGAATCCACTCGCTTCATTATGGTGTGTGTTCGTGCAGAGAATTTCTTCTTTTCATAATAACAGATTTTAGGACCTGATAAGACCTCAAGAAAAAATTGATCTTTTAAGAACTGAAAGGTTGTTTGAAGAACCCAGAATGGTTCTTCGATGGCGTCGCTGCGAAAACCCCCTTTGGTACCTGAATTTTTAAGAGTGCAGATGCGCTATAGATATTTCTAGGACTTTTACAGGCCTTAAAATAACAATTATAAAATCCCCTGAAATTTACATGTTTTCCATAACTGGGGAAATAATGTGCGCTACTAATCACTGACAATGTTGGGTTGACATCTTCCTGCTAAAACCTAATGGCTTGTGTGTGTGTGTGTGTGTGTATGGAATACATCCATACAAAAACTAAAATTGTTCCAAGAAATAAAACATTTTCACCTTTCTATTTGCATATTCTCCTTGCAAGAAAAAAAATACAGATTTTTTTTGGTTTGAAACTGTCCAGATAGTGGCAAGAAATCCAGAAATCTGACTGTGGTTTCTTTTAAGCATGCAAAGAGACAACAACACCACGGCAGGTACGGCGGCATTTCCTCTAGAACATCCATCCTTTTGACAGGACCAGGATGAGAAAGGGCTGGGTTGGTCCAGTTTGGTTAAAGAGGGTCAGTTTCACATTACGCATGGCCGGGTTTCGCAGGCTCATAAGGGTGACAAGAGGGCTGATGGTAAATGGGGGATAAAAATAAAGGCGTAGTGAGACCAAGGCATCACTGCAGAACCCAGCTCACGACTTCCTTCCTGCACCAAGAGGGCCACAAGAGGAAGTGTGTGCGTGCGTGCGTGCGTGCGTGCGTGTGTGTGTGTGTGTGTGTGTGAATGCATGCGCGCTCAAGGGTGTAACTAGTTTGATATGGCATGAAAAACTAACATCACAGCGTGATGGACAAGAGGGGAGAGCATGTGTGAATGCAGAACTTATTAAGCGTTTGTTTATAAAAAGCATTTACATCTTCATGTTGCTACAGTGACTCGCGCTGCCCACTGGCGGCCGAGAGAGATCGGATAGCTATTAGTGAACGAGCCCATCAGAAATGCATGCCTACTCACAGGTTTTGTGTGGGTGAATCTGCTGCTGGGATACAAAGATAAGTCATCTCCTAAAGAAACAGAGGAAAGACAGAGATGTGCTTTAATACGCCTCAATATCACATGCTAAACAATGATAGAGTATAAAGTAAGACATAGAGGGTAAACCTGTTGTTTCATGTCATGTCAAGAGCTCTTTGTTGCACATGCACACCATGTTCATTTCATAATAAACTCAAAATAATGCATGCATAAATGCAATGCATTTCATTGTTTTACTCTCACGTCTTCACAGGTCTCTGAAAAGCACCATGCAAGAGCACAAAGCATTCAGCACAAGTACATTTGTGCAGAAGGGCTCGTTTTCCTGTAAGAGAAGCCCTTCGCTGAGAAAGTCTGCTTTAGGGTCTCTGCAGAATTTCCTGAATCAAATATAAGAGTTTTTAAGACCTGCATTAGATAAAATATGCACAATTACAACCTTCTACAATATATTCAAATATAATCACCATAAAGTAAACACTGTCATAATTCAATAATCTATTGACATAAAAGCACAGTATTCATTGACTGAGAACTGTTCTGAAACGGTGAGCCTGTAAAATGCAAAACAGCGCTGCGTTTGGACTTTTATTTAATTAAATCATACATTTTAGGATGTAGGATGTATTGAGGTTATTGTTTTAACATCCTCTTAAAATGATAATTAAGACTGTTTCTGCTGCTTGATTCATCAACACAGAACTGAAGCCAAACCCTAATGCAGCAAAACAAATTCACTGAATAGAAAGTGTTTGTGTGTCTGTCACTGTGTTGACAGTGTAACCTGCAAAACAATGGGCGAGTAGTTTACTTCATTATTTACCATGCTTCATAAAAGCCTGCACTGCAAAAAATTCCATGTTTACATTAAAGTACAGAATTATTTATAAGTTTCACCTTTTGTATAAATGGTAATGAAATTGAAAGACTAATTGTTTTGATATTATTTCATTATTTAAATGTGTAATATATGTCAATATGGTATTACTGTAGAAATGTAGCAAATTGCTGTCTTACTCGGTTTTGTATTATGTTAGGCTTTGAAGTTAAGTTTAACAGTTTTGAAAATAATATGTAAACGTGCAACGGAGTGCATTTTGTGCCAAAGCAATGGAAAATGATGCAGTTTAGTTGCATGGAGATTTAAAAAAAAAAGTGACCCAAGTATTGAGAAACTGGTCCCAGAGACAGTAAAAAAACCTCAAAACCTCACTGTACTTTAAAGACATGAACTAATGAGTCACACTACCTGTAAAATAGGCGCAGCGGTGTCATGGATGGAGAGGATGTGTGTGATGTTGTTTCTGGCTAATTGCTCCCTGTCTCTGGCATCTGTAAGAACAAATCCACACGTTTATCATCTTTCCGAACCATGCACTTTATTAAAATTGTGTTGTGGATTCTAGCCTTGTCCATTCTTACCTTTGAAGTTACCTAAGTACAGGTCTGGCAGAACCTGGAACGACACACGCAGGTTTGTTCAGTCACAACCAAGCCAAAATACAACTTAACATCACTCAGTTTTCCTAAAATCGACAACTGTGTTATTGTGTGTTGGTTTCAAACATCAGTTCTTCTTTTATTCTGTTACATTTTCCAACCCCCCTTACATGAATTATGTTTGAATTAAAAAGTTATTCTTCTGAAATCAGTGTCAAAATACAGAAAGTTCCCACTGTGACAAGGAGGAAGGACTCGCATTTTGGTCGGAAGCAATGGTTTAAAAGTTAAAAAGGTCTTAATGCTGGATTTGTTCCAGCTTTTGTCTTCTCCAGATGTTAACTGATGCACTGGAGTGCTGTGGATTACTTGTGGATTATTGTGATGTTTTTATCAGCTGTTTGGACTCTCATTCTGATGGCACCCATTCACTGCAGAGCATCCATTGCTGAGACGCTGATGTAATGCTACATTTCTACAAATCTGATGAAGAAACAAACTCATCTACATTGCTAAGGTGTTTTTATGTGGTCATGTTGCTGTGAGCAATTATTAGCACATTGCTATGTGGTTGCTAGGGTATTATTTTGCAGTTGCTAAGGCTTTCTAGTAGTTATCGCATTGCTGTGTGGTTGCTAGGGTATTATTATGCAGTTGCTAAGGCTTTCTAGTAGTTAGCGTGTTGCTGTGTGGTTGCTAGGGTATTGCTATGCAGTTGCTAAGGCTTTCTAGTAGTTAGCGTGTTGCTGTGTGGTTGCTAGGGTATTGCTATGCAGTTGCTAAGGCTTTCTAGTAGTTAGCGTGTTGCTGTGTGGTTGCTAGGGTATTGCTATGCAGTTGCTAAGGCTTTCTAGTAGTTAGCGTGTTGCTGTGTGGTTGCTAGGGTATTGCTATGCAGTTGCTAAGGCTTTCTAGTAGCTAGCACATTGCGGTGTGGTTGCTAGGGTATTGCTATGCAGTTGCTGAGGCTTTCAAGTAGTTAGCGTGTTGCTGTGTGGTTGCTAGGGTATTGCTATGCAGTTGCTAAGGCTTTCTAGTAGTTATTGCTGTGTGGTTGCTAGGATATTGCTATGCAGTTGCTAAGGCTTTCTAGTAATTAGCGCGTTGCTGTGTGGTTGCTAGGGTATTGCTATGCAATTGCTAAGTGTGTGGTTGCTAGGGTATTGTTATGCAGTTGCTAAGGCTTTCTAGTAGTTAGCGCATTGCTGTGTGGTTGCTAGAGTATTGCTATGCAGTTGCTAAGGCTTTCTAGTAGTTAGCGCATTGCTGTGTGGTTGCTAGAGTATTGCTATGCAGTTGCTAAGGCTTTCTAGTAGTTAGCGCATTGCTGTGTGGTTGCTAGAGTATTGCTATGCAGTTGCTAAGGCTTTCTAGTAGTTAGCGCATTGCTGTGTGGTTGCTAGAGTATTGCTATGCAGTTGCTAAGGCTTTCTAGTAGTTAGAGCGTTGCTGTGTGGTTGCTAGGGTATTGCTATGCAGTTTCTAAGTGTGTGGTTGCTAGGGTATTACTATGCAGTTGCTAAGGCTTTCTAGTAGTTAGAGCATTGCTGTGTGGTTGCTAGGGTATTGCTATGCAGTTGCTAAATGTGTGGTTGGTAGGGTATTGTTATGCAGTTGCTAAGGCTTTCTAGTAGTTAGCGCATTGCTGTGTGGTTGCTAGGGTATTGCTATGCAGTTGCTAAGGCTTTCATGCTGCTGTGTAGTTGCTGGCGTGTTGCTATGGTGTTGTTGCTTTCTGGCCCAAATCAACTTAGTCGAACTATTATGATGTTCTTTAGACATGTCTCGGGTCCCTCCTTCACTGTAAATCAATGGGATTCTTTTTTTCATCCTTTTTATCTTAATCAAAAAAAAGACACATGATTTTAGGAATCGTTCCAGCCGGCGTACTTAAGTAATAAGTCAATAACATACGTATATGAGCAACAGTGACGCTTTCCTTAACCAGCATCACTAATAAACACCCTTCCAACATCAAGATTACATTCCCTCTTATGGAAGGAGAAGAGGGAAGTCATGCCCATCTACCTTATTTATTCCGTTTCCCATGCCACACTGTTCGCAGTGGCTAGTGCTTCAGGAGTCCGCTTGTATCGACAGTGTTTAATCGCTGTTTATGTTGTCGTGTCGAGTTCCTCGACGAGCCTGTCTTAAAGGCGCAGTGCACACTATTACCGACACCAAGTACTGTTGTTCATATACTCGTCTCGTGATGCTACTGAAGTTTGATTGAATTACTCGCAGTGGTTTCTTTCTAGCAGGACAGTTTTGAAGTGAATATCTGTAGCTCAGATTAAAATGAATAACTAGTTATTTTAAAAATGCACAGGCAAAAAGGTTTGCGTCACTTCGATCCTTTTCTGCAAAATGGACAAATAAATGAATAAAGATATTACATTTGTGCGTGGATACGACAGAGGGCATTTTTAGGATTTATAACATGTTTTCTGGAGTACTTGATTCTGATCGGTCAATCCATTTTAACGCTGTTTTGTAAATGTTTCTGCGCTGTTTCTGCATGTAAGCCAGTAAAATTAAAATAATTCCAATTTAAATCTATAATTCGTGTCCATTTATTTATTTACTTATTTATAAATATTTATGTATTTATTTATAAATATTTATTTATTTATTTATAAATAAATCCGATTTATTTGTAAATTATCCCTTGCAGTTTCTATTTACTCATAGCATTTGATTTTGACATTTTCGTTGAGAGCATTTTTAAACTTTACAAACCCGTAACTTTTTATTTATTAAAATGCAATATTTAAATGTTAATTTCTCAGTTACTAGATTAAAACGTGCGCTGGTGATCTGGTTTTCTGCTGTTGATTATGTTTGTCTGCCTGATTTTTACTTTCACTTTGTAACCTAATATCCCGGAAGCCACGGAGAAGCGCCTCTAGGAGGAATGTAACAAGGTATGTGTTACACAGATACAATGTTGCGTTTCTAATCAGTTTTAAAAATGTTTTTCGGTAGCAGGAGAAATCTCATATTTGAAGTCAACTAACGAATAAATTAAAAGTTGCGTTGTTTCTGTCAAGTAATGAAAGGGAACGCAGAAATGTCAACCTTTCGAATACCGAACTCTTTTTTTGTTTCTCGTTTTGGTTTCTAATGTGTTTCTCTGAAGTTTGTCTGTGGCTCTTCATTCAAAGGTTCGCCTTTGATCGTCGGGAAATATTTCAAGAGTTTTGTCAGAAAGAATGTTCTCTAAGCTACTTCCGCAGTCCTTCATATAGAGGATGTTTTAATGTTTCACTGGGTTCATGGTGATATTTGTCTGATTTGTTATGTTTGTGTTGCTCTAGGGAAGTTGTCTTTAGGAATAGAGGAACTATGGCTACAGCAGCGAGCCTGAGTCTTATGAAGTCTGGAGATCTGATCAAGAAAGAGCCTTTGGATTATGGAGGGTTTGGGGAAGTTTACCTGTGTTACCACAAAACACTGGGCCAGGTGGTGCTGAAGACGGTCTACACCGGACCTCCGCGCAACGGGTGAGTGTGGAGCATCTGCTCTGGCTTCAGATGCTCAGATGCTGTGGGAACTGACTGAGTTGAATGTGTCTGACTCAGCCGGCAGAAGCAGTCTCTTCTGGATGAAGGCAGTCTGATGAGCAGGTTAAGCCATCAGAGAGTGGTCAAGCTGCTGGGGGTTATTCTGGAGGACGGAGACTATTCTTTAGTCATGGAGCTCATTCCTAAAGGAAACCTGCTCACCATGCTGGAGACGGTAACAGTCGAAATATACATGAAGTTTCACATTTTTATCTGTCGAACACTCAGTTTGTCCAGAATGTCCAAAAACGCATTGAATGTACCAAAACATGGTTAGCCCTTGTGCATCGATTTAAAAAGGTTAAACAGAGCTCCTTAGCTGACGAAATAGTCCATGTCATAAAATATTATATTTTAATATGTTTTTCCACTATCATCGGTGCTGATCATAACTACCAAAACATCAATTTTCAGGATTTCAACCCTTTAAATGTTTTAAGCTTGTTTACATAATGCTACTGTTGCTTAAAAAGAAAAGACAAAAATCAATTATTTTCCATATACTAAATGCTAAGATTTTGTTTTTTGTTTTGTTTTGGATTATTACAGTCTTGCATGTCAGTGAATAGCAACAGCATTCATTTTGGTGCATTATTATTTTTTGTGCAGTGTCAGATTAAAAAAAAATACCATTCACATGCACACAGATTTCTCAGTGTATGCATTTATATTATAAAAATAGTGAATTTATGTTTTGAAGCCAACAGAATGAAAGCCTATTAACAGGCTTGATTTTATGCTTAAATGGTGTTGGGATTAAATATTGCAACATTTTAGTCCTTAAGGTCCAGAGTGAAACTATTTTTGTACCTAAAGTAAAATAGATTTGTGAAAGGAAATGATGTTGGAAAAACTTCAATACAAATACACATTTTTGACCAAATCTATGCTGTTTGCATTAACACACATTAAAAAAAAAAACATTTAAAAAGGCAAAAATGGTTCATTGTTCATGAACATGAATGTGCTTGTAAGTTTACAATAAAAGCTATTTAAAGGACAGCAGCATGCGTAGCGGTATTGATATCTTGATGTAAATGCAGGATCAGATTATGTGTCTTTAATGTGCAAAATGGACATTAGCTCTCTCTCAGGTGAATGCTTTCAACATTTCTGAACCCCTATAACTGTATCCACCTGCTGTCCAATATAACCTGCCCTTGCATGCACTAGTATACAAATATTGTTTGCTCCATTACCTGATTTGCATAATTCCTTTAGAGAATCACAGACAGTGCATGTAAAAAAAGCAATTCCTCATTCAAAGCGCTTCATGTGTAGTGAAAATGTGTCACTTTTTGATATCTTTAATAGTTTCCTTATGTTTGGCGTTCCAGGTGCCTGTTCCAATATCTGTGAAAGGAAGGATCATTCTGGAAATCGTGGAGGGAATGGTTTATCTCACGGAGAACCAAGTCATTCACAAAGATCTCAAACCAGAGAACATCCTGGTGGACAAGAACTTCCACATAAAGGTATAAAGTTTATCTCTGAATTCCCCACAGAACTCCCTTTTTAAAAAGTTAAATATTCACATTATTGAAAATAAGTACCCATAGTTTAGATTATGGTCTTTTCCAAAGGTACTACAATGTACCATTTAGTTACTAATATGTGACCCTGGAGCACAAAACCAGTCATAAGGGCTAATTTCCCGAAATTGAGATTTATGCATCAGCTGAAAGCTGAATAAATAATCTTTCCATTGATGTATGGTTTGGTAGGATATGACAATATTTGGCTGAGATACAACTATTTGAAAATCTGGAATCTGAGGGTGCAAAAAAATCTAAATATTGAGAAAATCATCTTTAAAGTTGTCCATATTAAGTTCTTAGCTATGCATATTAAGTTTTGATATATTTACAGTAGGAAATTTACAAAATATCTTCATGGAACATGATCTTTACTTAATGTCCTAATGATTTTTGGCATAAAAGAAAAATCAATCATTTTGACCCATACAATGTATTGTTGGCTATTGCTACAAATATACCCCAGCGACTTAACACTGCTTTTGTGCTCCAGGGACACATATGTGCACTTCAGCTACTAATATGCAGCCTTTAGAAGCAAATAAGGTACAAACATGTACCTTTTTCAAATGCTTTTCTAGCTTTTTTTCTGAAAGGAGAGAAGGATATGAATGTCTGCTTGAACTGCCTGATGCTAAAATTATAAAATATAATATTTATAGTTCTTTATGCATACTAAAGAACTGCACATCGTCGTGAAATGTAAAGTATATTATTGCACAACTCTCTATGTAAAGTTGAATATTTAGTACTTTATCCACATGCATAGAGTATAATAATTTAAGGCTATTCTATATAGCAAATCTCAGCTGCTCGAATGCTTGTATCATCACAAAATATATCGCACAGCTCTAATCTGCTGAATGTGACTATAATGCATGAAGATATAAAGATATTATAAACATTAACATCGTGATTTTGTGTAAAGCTGCTTCGAAAACTATGTGTATTGTGAAAAGCGCTTTAAAAATAGAGCTGACGTGAAGGATTTTGGTGCATGCTCTGAGCTGTGTTTGTTTGCTCCGCATCAGATCGCAGATCTGGGTCTGGCCACGTCTCAGATGTGGAGCAAGCTGACGAAAGAGGAGTCTCGCAGACAGAGTCGTCTGGGCAAGAAGTCGTGTGCGCGCGCCGCTGGCACTCTGTGCTACATGGCTCCTGAGCACCTGAAGAGCATCAACACCCGCTCCACCGAGAAATCTGACGTCTACAGCTTCTCCATCGTCGTCTGGGTCATCCTCAGCGGCCGCGAGCCCTATGAGAGTGAGTCTGCCTTCAGAACTGTTCAGAATTCATTTTTCTTCAGTGGAATGTATAGTAAGAATGTACAAAAAGGATGTAAAAGTAACAAAATTACTATTCATGTGACTCATGTGCTATATTCTGTTGTATATAGCTTTTTGTGAGGAACAGACTGAAATAATAAAAAAAATATATATATATAAATATGAATATGAATTTTCACTATTCCGGTCAGTTTACACAGCACAGTTCCTCTTTCTCAAAGAAAAACAGAAGAGGCAATGATATACACATTTTAATAGGGCTGAACGATGAATCATATTTTAATTGTGCTTCTCTCGATTTATTAAGCTTAAAAATGCTATATTTGCCTGCGGGTTATTTATCCTAAAAATGTGTCATTTGCGGTATCTTGCATTGGTAAACCTGCACAAGCTTTCATGACGGTTGCCAGATTTAAAGATTTTAAATCCCCCAATCAGAGCTTTTCTCTTAAATCAACCCATTTTTCTGCCCAGTGGTTTCATTAAGGGATGGTTCACGCAAAAATTAAAATTCTGTTATCATTTACTCACTCTCAGGATATGTGGGTAACCAAACCGTTGACGGTAGCCATTGACTTCCATACTACTTTCTTCCATTCTGTAGAAGTCAATGGCTACTGGCAACTGTTTGGTTACCCACATTCTTCAAATTTGTGTTCAACAGAAGAAAGAAACGAAGAACTTGAGGATGAGTAAATGATGACAGCATTTTTTTTTTTTTTTCGGTGAACTATCCCTTTAATCTTCCCAACCTTGCAACCATGCGCACACGCTCTCTCTGCATTACAGAATAAGTGCTGATGAGCTGAAAACACCAGGAAACATGTCAGTCAGGGTTTAGTGATCTACATTGAGATACTGCCTAAATAAAAGTGTTATACAGACAATCTGATTTCTTTCACACGGTCATTTGTACTGTTTGCTGCGAGTAAACCTTGCGAGTGCTTATGTGATAATAATTCTGATGAAATGTACCAAAAATGCAAAATGACATTTTTGAGCAAAATAATCGTGTTCAACTGTTTAACCATTATAATGCGGCACTATATTGTAGTATTAATGTGGTCATATGTGACCCTGGAGCACAAAACCAGTCATAAGGGTCCATTTCATATCTTTACATTTTTTTCAATTATCTTCAGTTAATGTCATTTGCACAGAAACAGTCATGATATTTATAGTTCAACATGACCATTTCTGACCAATTAAACAGCCTGTTTTTGTGCCATTGTGCTTTTAAGACTTTGCAATGCATGCAAATGCTCTTTAATATATTTGCAATGTAACAAACTCAAGCCCGAGATTTAGTACCCAGAAAGTGTGAATGAAAATGTTGTTTCTGTTTCTTCAGATGCCAGGAGTGAAGATCAGATATGCCACTGTGTGTGTCAGGGTGAGCGTCCCAACGAAGCGCTGATCCCTCGAGACACTCCTCAAGACATCATAGAGCTCATGAAGACGTGCTGGAATGAAGACCCTCGAGACCGGCCCACATTTAAAGGTAGAAGCCTTGAGGGTTCGTCCTAAAGCCAGACGTGTTTAACAGGACACATTCATTTAGTTTTGAATGGAACACTACTTTTACTAGACACTGCATCCTAAACACACAGCACTCATTTGCGGGATTATACTGACATACAGGATTAATTATGCAATTTGATTTTGTATTTTGAATCAGCTGACAGTTTTGGTATATCAGTGACAAATTATGAGAGATATTCAATTATTGTTTATTATCTGACTGTTGACTTTGGGCCTGGATCACAGTCTCACAGCTACTGAACCTTTTATCTAATTTGCTTTATTTGTCTCTTTTTACAGATAGCTATGCAATTTTTGTGCCTTTTTATCAGGAGAAGCTGGCAGCAAATGTAAAAGCAGATTTGGAAAGTCTGATGGTGAGTGTTTTTTTCGGATGTCAGAACATATTGATTCACTGATTCTTTTACCCCATCATTCATCACAGACGTTTAATATATTGCTGCTTTTATTGGATTACATTAATTCAGTTTAATTGATTAAGCTAATTTGATCTGATTACTGTGCATGACACAAGAGGTTGTCACTATTTTAAATGGACAGTTTGAATATTCTATTATGTGCAATGTTTGAATCCTACATTTATGATTTTATTGCATTCAAGTTCTGTTTGAATATATAATTTCTTAAGCATGTGTATTATTCATTCTTAATTGATTTTCATAATCGTGACACTGCTATGTGTTCCTTGCATTATGTTTTTGTTTGTCTCTTAAAGGAACGGTTGCTTAAAAATTAAAAGTCATCCTTTACTCAACCTGCAAATATGATTTCTTCTGATCACTTTATATGATGATCAAAATTTAAGCTTTTTTCACTTTATTCAAATCAGATCAATGACTGACACACATGTGCATAGACTGCATCAGTTTTCATTTTAGGACAGCCATTGTTTAACCTAGAGATTATTTGTATTTTGCATACTCTCTAATGTAAGAGATCCAGTCAGGAAGTCTGTAAGTGAAATATAAGACAGTCATGCTAGTATTATTTTGCACAGAGATCGTATGAGGGCCCAGAGGAGCTGGTAGAAAAGCTGAAGTCCCTCACAACAGACTCGCTCACTCCTGAAGGTATGCTGATTTATTCAGTCATGTTTTATTTACACCAGCAACCGTTCAACACCGATTTATCATTGTGACATCAGATATATACTATAAATTTCACTTAAGACCACTTGTACATCAAATATATGCCATATTTTCTACAATATCTAACGCATTTACCACCTGTTACAGTTTAGATATATGCATCTTTGTGTTTATAATAAATGTTGTTGTTGTTGTTGTTGTACAAACAATGTATGTTGTTTGTTTTATACTTATATTTGTCATTCCTTTTCTATTCTGAATACCATTACATTGAAAGAATTTATTGTGTAGTGAGGGGAACTAATATGCATAATGTTATTTACCAATATTTTGCATTATCCCTTAGTTTTTCAAAAGCGTTCGTCGTAGTAATTAGATAAACTTCTATAGTGGTGAACGGAAACTACAACAAATATCATCTTTGTGTACACATTTGCTCCAATATCAAAATAAAAAATCGACTTCCTCGGCCGTTGTATTAGAAAGACAAGTTTTCTGTAATTTAATGCCAAGGTAATAAAACAGAAGTATAGTGTTATAAATGTTAGGGCTGCACAATAATGGTTAAACGGTTAATCACAATTATTTTGTTCAAAAATATGATCGCAATTATTAATAACAATTATTGTCATTTTATTAAATTTTTTTATATCTCAGTCGAGATCGCTGAACTCCAGCTTACATGTTTGCTGATGTTTTCAAATCATCTGCACTTTTTCTGTAACATAGACAGAGTGAGTGCACATGGTTGCCAGGTTGGGAATATTAAGTAAACCCCTGGGCTCTGATTGGGGGATTTAAACTATTGGCATCTGGCAACCACAGCCATGAAAGCTTATCCAAATTAAAACGTTTTCTGGATAAGTAACCAGCGGGCAAATATCGCAGACGATGTGCTTAATAAATCAAGAGAAGCATTTTCAAATCGTGACCACAGTTGAAATACCTTTCGTCGTGCAGCCCTTCTAAAACGTACATTAAAGTTTGTAAAAATTTAAATATAAAAATATTGAAACAAACTTTAACAATGTTAATAACTGTGGAACCGTGTCATCACATTCACATTTCTGAATGCTATAATAAAATTTGACTTTGATCATGTGACCACGCGATAACACTGAGTGAATTCAAATAAGTTGTTTCCTAGTCTGTAAAAATGTTTTTTGCTACAGTGTTGATTGTAGGCGAAGCACATCCAGCTAAAAGGAAACATTCTCACAACTTTCACTAATGCTTTTTTTTTAAGTTATATAAATGTTAGGACAAAGCATTCTTAAAGTAACGTTTATATAATGTTCTTATAAATGTATCAGTATTTGAGATGCATTCTCAAAACATTGAGAGAACTTTCTTGGAACGACATTCTCGTCCTTGCGATGTTATTTGTACTTGATTAACGTTCTAATAAATGTTTTTGTAACCTTTAAATAACGTTCTGATCACAAGAAAACTAGACACTTTAACATTCTTAGAGTAAATGTTCAAATAACGTCATATTTTGTGTTAAAATAAAGGTAGCGCAATGCTGTAAGAAACGTATTTGTAACCTTTAAACAACATTCTAATCGCATCAAGAAAACTGGACATTTCAGTGTTTCAGAAACATTTCAAAACATTTCATTTTTATAACCTAACTTTGTTACCTGGGATCAGATGCTTGTAAATGTAATGCTGACCGTTCTTCTTGTGTCTGCAGACCCTTCGCCGTGTTCCAGAGACTCTCCAGGGCCCTTGAGGAGCTCAGACATCGGTCCGGTGGAGGCTAGCATTGAAGACCTCAGCTTCAGGACCCCCGAAGAGTCTCTGCTGGAGGTGGACGCCGCGCCTCCCAATCTGGAGCTCAAACTGGCAAAAGAGTACAACTACCACAAATACGGCAGTCGTATAGTGGATCAGCCGAACGCCAGCATTTATAACCCGCTCCCGCAGCAGCCAGCCAGCAGCAGGTGGGCCGGAGAGGCTTCTTCTGTCAAGTCTTGGACTAAACCCGCCGCTTACCCAAACCCAAACCCAGAGGAAGAGCTCCATCCGAGACCTGCAAGCTCGTTTGAGGGTTTGCACAGGCCAGAACTGGCGAGTCAGCTCTCGGTGCCGTATTCTGACTACGACCGACTTCAACATCCACTGTACAATCGCATCAAGTCCTGTCCTGATGGTGCATCTCCTGTAGCCGAGTCTTTCATGCTGGATTCACAGCCTGGCCTGCGTTTCTCGCCCGTCGTGTGTCCTCCGTCTGACTCGGGTACAGTTCACAATTCACAACTAACAAGTCATTTCTGTAGCACTTTATGCAATACTGATTGTGTCAAAGCAGCTTCACAGAGATAAATAGGAAATAGCAGAGACAATATGTGTCCCAGCAGCACAAAAGCAGTCTTAAGTCGCTGGGGTATATTTGTAGCAATAGCCAACAATACATTGTATGGGTCAAAATTATAAATTTTTCTTTTATGCCAAAAATCATTAGGATATTAAGTAAAGATCATGTTCTATGAAGATATTGTGTAAATTTCCTACCGTAAATATATCAAAACTTAATTTTTGATTAGTAATATGCATTGCTAAGAACTTCATCTGAACAACTTTAAAGATGATTTTCTCAATATTTTGATTTTATGCACCCTCAGATTCCAGATTTTCAAATAGTTGTATCTCAGCCAAATATTATCCTATCCTAACAAACCATACATCAATGGAAAGCTTATTTATTCAGCTTTCAGATGATGCATACATCTCAATTTCAAAAAAATTGACCCTTATGACTGGTTTTGTGCTCCAGGGTCACATATTGTCATTATTCAGCTCAAGTTAGTTCAGTGTTGGTTCTGTTCAGAAAGGGCATAATCACAATTTCACCTTCTCTCTATTTATTAAGAATAATCATGTGTAATATTTGCTTGCTGGTTATTTATCCTGAAAACATTTCATGTTAATTTGGCATTTGCATTGGTAACAGGCCTCTACAAGCTTTCATGGTTGCGGTTGCCAGATTTCAAGAGTTTAAATCCCCCAATAAGAGCTGTTTTCATAAATGGATCTGTTTGACATTTTTTTATGGTTTTAGTTTTAGTTAAAGGCAGGGAAGGTGATTTGGTTCAAAAACATTTTTTGTTATGCTGGTTGAAAGTCTGTTCACATCCCAATAGCAATCACTAAGTTAAGTGCTCTAAATGTATTTATATCAGGGGTGCCCAATCTCGGTCCTGGAGGGCCGGTGTCCTGCAGAGTTTAGATCCATCCTCAATTAGACACACCTGAACCAGCTAATCAAGCTCTTACTAGGCATACTAGAAACCTCCAGGCAGGTGTGTTGAGGCAGGTTGGAGCTAAACTCTGCAGGACATCGGCCCTCCAGGACCGAGTTTGGGCACCCCTGATTTATATCGTCTGTGGAAGGTGTAGGACCATAAAATGTTCGTTCAATCACATTCCTCGGCCCGAGGATTACGATAGGCTGTCCTACCTGCCTGTCGACGTATGTATTTGCATACCTCCTCGCACCCTGTTCGCGCAGACATGATACGTCATCAGCGCATTCATTATGCTGTGTGCTTTGTACTGTAATGTTTTCTCACCGGTGAATGAGACATGAGCTAATCTGACAGTGTTGACTCCGTCTGTCATCGTGTCGCTGGTTAGCCTCTGCTCTGCCCGTGTTTTGGAGGAGGCGTGGCTTTGGAAAGTGATTATACAGGAAGGGTGGGATCTTATGCTTTCGAAATCATCTACCCTACCTTTAACAACAATCTGATCCAAGAAATGTTATTTTGGGGCTGGGGTGGATTTTGGGTAGTTATATGAAAGTTTATAAAGCGGATAGTTCCGGTCCTTGATTCTGATTGGCTGAGCCGCATTCGAAGCTGTTGTAAATGACTCTACAAAGTAACATACACCTTTGTTTACGTTTGTCTGTTGCTCGGCAACCACTTTGTTGGAACCACAACTGATTCTGAGGAACTACATTGTTTGGTGGAAGAATACTGTTTTTATTAATATCATTACACTTTATTTGCTCTGTTTTATTTTGTGAAACCTTACTACGTATATGGAATAACCGTTTTATAAAAGCAATAAGCCCCAAGAAGCCGTGGTTTACAGTGAATTTATAACAGCTAAGGAGGTTTTAGGCTCTCCGCTTCGCGTCGTAACAGCTCCCCTTAGCTGTTATAAATTCACTGTAAACCACGGCTTCTTGGGGCTTATTGCTTTAATATATCATATATATATATATATCATTTTCTCCTGATTTGTTTGGTTTTCCATTAGGGTGGCCTGTGGCCATCTCAAATGCCAGTGCGATTCAAATCGGGAGTTACAACACGATGAATTTGCAAGTCTCTGATAACAGCTCCTTGAGCTCGTTATCCGCTGGATCCATCAACAGAACCAGATATAATGAGCTTCTAATGACGTACGGTAAGACTCACTCTGTTTCAGACCTAGTGAGCTGCTATCTAATTAAGTATGCGCTAATTTGCATTCATTTTCAGAACAAAAATCTAAACACTGAATTAAGTAACTTGTTACGTTAAGTTAACTTGTTTGATTTTTTTGACATATTAAAGTTCTTCACAGAGGGCATTTTGGATTTCTCTTATTTATCATTCCATTAATCAGAATATACTGTCAACCGCCAGAAAAAAAATCACAATGATTTAGGAAAAAAATTTAATTATATATGCAAAATACAAAATACAAATTTCCTTCAGAAAATAAGAATAAAAATGTAAGGTTTGGTGTACGTAAGTACTGCTGAAGTGGAGACTGTGACTACAGATGCAAATAGATAAAGTGCAATTAAAGCAACACCTAAAAGTGTATTTTGGATGTTTTTTTACACTAGTTTGTAACAACACATAAAAAAAAGCCAAACAGCCCAAAATTGACCAATGCATGCTTTTAGCCTTAACAAAGCCCTTGTTTTATAGTAATCCTGATCAAATGATTAAACTCTCATTGCTTAACATGTGCCAGATCTGATTGACTTTCTCTGTTTGATTGTGTTGTGATGATCAGAGGAGCATACGGTCACTGAGAACCACCTGGAGGTCGTGCGTCACAACGTGGGTGGAAACTGGAAGCAGGTGGCTCGTAAACTGGGGCTGACAGACATAGACGTGGACACCATCGAGCATGACTACGACCGCGACGGTTTGGCAGAGAAGGTGCACCAGATGCTGGAGCGCTGGAAGATGAAGGAGGGTCTGCAGGGCATCACCGTGGGTAAACTGTGCCATGCTCTGGAGGGCTGCATCAAACCCAACGTACTGCTGCAGCTGCTGCTGAAGTGTCAAGATGCCACTGGAGTGCCTTGAAACGCCACCTTGTGGTTGTGTCATAATCCCATTGGTGTCTTCTTCTCTGGAGGGAATCAGATTGGGTAAAGGGGCATTTATACAACTCTAACAACCTTCATCAAACAGTGAAACATTACAAAGACGTACAGTATTTCTGACTTCTTATCAGGCTGTGTTCATGGTGTTGGATGCTACGGCATAATGATTACAATTTTGTGAACTATTCATAGCACAAAAGTTATCTTCTGCCATGTGATCTGAGTTCATCATTGATTCGTACAAAGTGCCTTTTTCCTGAACCTGATCAGTTGAATCAGTCTTTATATTTCAGAATCACTTGTCATGATTGTAAGATGCTTTATGATTTTTTTTTTCTGTTTAGAGATTTCTTTCAAATTAAATACTAGTATATAGATCAGTGACAGGAGTTTGCATGTTCTCCCTATGTAAGTGTGGGTTTCCTCCGGGTGCTCCGGCTTCCCCACAGTTATGTGTGTGTGTGTGTGTGTGTGTGTGTGTGTGTGTGTGTGTGTGTGTGTGTGTGTGTGTGTGTGTGTGTGTGAGAC